GCCCTAAGAACTTTCCAAAAATGTTAAGAGTCAGGTTTATGGTGCGGCACAGTGGCTCATGCCTGTAATCTCAGAACTTTGGGAGGCCAAGGCGGGCAGATCACTTGAGGTCAGGTGTTCGAGACCAGCCTGGTCAACATGATGAAACCCTGTCTCCACTAAAAGTACAAAAATTAGCTGGGCATGGTGGCAGGCGCCTGTAATCCCAGTGACTTGGGAGGCTGAGGCAGGAGAATTGCTTGAACCTGGGAGGCAAAGGTTGCAGTGAGCCGATCATCATGCCACTGTACTCCACACTCCAGTCTGGGCAAAAGAGCGAGACTCTGTCTCAAAAAAAAAAAAAAAAAGAAAGAAAGAAAGAGTCAGGTTCATAAAAACAGAAGTTTGAGGCTGATACCTTTGGACATGTTTTTCAACTCATGTTAACTCGGTGCTATCCTTCTTCGGGCTCTAAGAAGACCCTGTTGTTGGAAATACATGGAATAAACTCATTTTTTAGTTATAATATGAAAATTTAAGCTGGGGAATTGATCAGAGAATTAGCAAAACCTAGTATGAAGTAACTTGAATTCAGACATAAGTACTGAAGTATTCTGACTGTGAAGTATTAGATATTTAAATGAGAAAACAAATCTGGGTGGGAGGAATGCTGAGATGTTGGTCAAAGGGTACAAAGTTCCAGTTACATGGGAGAAGAAATGAGTTATGGAGGCCTACTGTACAGCATGGGAACTATAGTTAGTAATAATGTAATGTATTCTTGAATATTTCTAAAAGAGTAGAGCTTCAATTTTCTCACCACACAAAAAAGGGGTAAGTATGTGAGGCTATGGACATATTAATTAGCTTGATTTAATCATTGCAAAATGTATACATATAACAAAACATTACATTGTACACCACAAATATATACAATTTTTAATTTGTCAATTAAACCTTCATAAAGGTGAAAAAAAGGAATCTATTTTTTTAATGTGTCTTTTTTTTTTTCTTTTTATGAGACAAGATCTCACTCTTTCACCCAGGCGGAGTATAGTGGTGTGGTCATGGCTCACTGCAGCCTTGACCTTTGGGGCTCAAGCAATCCTCCCACCTCAGCCTCCCAAGTAGCTAGGACTACAGGTGCTTTCTACCATGCCCAGATAACTTTTAAAATTTGTTGTAGAGGTGGAGTCTTCCTATGTTGCTCAGGCTGGTCTCCAACTCCTGGGCTCAAGCGATCCACCCACTTTGGCCTCCCAAAGTGCTGGGATTACAGGCATGAGCCACTTGCACCTAGTTACATGTGTCTTTAAACACTGTTCTGCATTCATTATAGTGCGGGAAGTACATTCATGAAAAAAACAAAGAATGCCCAAGTAATCTAAATCTGGTTTAGAGGCAGGCCCAAAATTAGCTTAACAGTTAATAATTATTTCTAAAGAGAGCCAGAATAGGAAAAGATAAATATGTTTAAGTAACTCGTCTAAAACAAGAATGAGCAGAGCTACCCTACTCACTTCGTAGGTCTGTTTGTGAAAGCACTTTAAAACTGTAGAGCACTATGCAAATTTGAGGTGACCTTTTGCTGGTGATGCGTAATTAATATGCCCAGCATGCTTTTTAGGGAAAGAAAAAAATAGACTTTGCTCCCTCTCTTTCATGCCAGTATTGACCTGTTGGTTTTGCCTTCTATATCCGATGATATCACCCTAGAGAAGTATCTAAGTCAGTTCTTTTGGAGAAGTTCTTGCTGGGTCAAAAACGAAATCCCAGTGAATAGGAACCAGTCCTGGAGAGTTATGTACAGATCACCTTTTTAAAATCTGGGTGCAGATGGAGTGTACTTGGTACACTATTACAATATCCATCCCTTCACTATTAGAGCGATTATCCCATCTTAGTTTTATTTCTAGTCTATTTTTGGTGTGAACGGCATTAGTAATTTAATAAATTAGTATATACTGCATTACCAGAGTAAGAACTTGAGGAATATGGAAATGATATGTCAATAATAATATGGAAATCTTATAAGACTCATTATCTCAAAGATTTTTTAGTTTGAAAGAAGAAAAGATAAATACAGACAAATGTATACATCAGAAAAGAATGTTGAGATCAAGAGGCCGAGCAGAGGTATCTATCAGAGAATCAGTGCGAATCTGTTTAACTAGGGACATTCCTTTAAGGGCAGAGGTTAAGTAATGAAGACTTTTAGGTAATAGGCCAAAGGTGAGTAAGCCATTTTCTTATTATTATTTTAATCAAATTGGTAAAAGTAAGAATGTAGGGTAAAAAGTAAAGATTTCGTTGGAGTGGGAGAAAAAGAGACTGGCTCCTACGAAGCGTATTATGTATGTTTTTGTATCCAGAGGATGATAAACATGTAGGGAAGCGCTAGTGAAAGACACTGCAGCCAGAGCTCAAAGGTACTATTTAATCTGAAAGAGAGAAAAGAAATAGTGTAAAAAATAAATCCTATGGCCCATAGAAAGTCTAATGCAAGGCAATCAAGAAGACTTCAAGAATCTAGGATCAAAAAAGAAAAAGGGTTTGGTGGTTGTCACAAAAGTGATAGGTATAAGAGGTTTTATGTCACCTCTTTATCTCAAGATCTCACCATTCACAGTGAACCAAGCTGTTATATAGGAAATCCCAAATGAGAAACCTTCGTCAATCCCTATTAATTCAAATATTTATTTTTTAAATGCAAAAATTTAACACTTTCATTCTTCTTCTGCTTCTTACTATTTGTGTCATTTTTAAGGTAATTAAGGATTTGAAAAAAGCTAACTTCCCTAATTAAATTGACCTAATACATTTGGTAGATTGAGAGAGAGCAGTAGGTGTCCCAAGGGATCTCAAGATCAAGTTCTAGTTCAAGCACTTTGTCAGGAGGCTCTGTTGGGCCCCTCCCTGAGAGTGGAGTGCGCTGTGACTCCGAGTGGAAGTCCATGTAGCAGGAAGCCTGCACAGAGCTTGTCAAGGTGACTCTGGTTATACATGAACTCTGAGAACTCTATAGCTACTGCAGATAAATAGTCCCACCAACTTTTGTTCCCATCAAAAATAAATCTGCTGAAAATGTTCTTAAATTTCTAAACGGACCATTCAGTCTCTACTTGAGTTGTTCCCTTTAAGCAAATGGGTAATGTTCTAGTAGTTTTAAAAGCATTTGGTCAACCACGAAGCACTACAGAAATTTTTAAAAATATCTCTGTGTTGCTTGAGTCTTTTTCATCCCCTAGGAGAGGGGAAAACCTGTTAAGAAAACCCTTTCATTTTTCTATCTTGTTACCTAACACCATGAGACCAGCAGCATCTTTGTCAAATCTCAATGTGAATGAAAAAAAAAATCAATTATTCCAGAGTTGGCAGGAGGATTTGACTTACATTTTCAGGTTAGTGAACTGAGTCTACTAATGCTATTATGAGTAGGAATTAACTGTTGAAAAATTGAACTCTCACTTTTTCACATACCAACATTAGTTCGTTAAAACTCTTTCAAAATGGAACATGATTTACCTGTTGTCTCATATCTTCAAAACCAAATTTGCAAAAACTACCACTAGTTCCAAAACCAGCTTGGATAAAAACTCATTCAACTTCTTGTGTCCATAAATTGTGGTTCTGTGTCTGTTCTACTCAAAGTGACTTTGTAAGCATATTGTAGTAGTGTCTATATTATAAATTGTAGACATATGGAAGACTGGGATTTTAACACATTATTATGAGTTCCAGTAGCATTAGCCATATACTATAAGTGGGGATAGAGACACACTTCCAGAATTTGGATAGTGTTCAACTGTTTGTTTCATAGTCCATTATTATAAGATTCTGTAATGCCTATAATTTTATCTCTTGACACCTCTGTAAGTATATTATTCATATATTTCAGATTTCTTCGGATGGCCTTGATTTTAAATATTTTGCTTGTAGTCAAATCGTGTGTCAGACAGTATATCTTATTTTCTGTTTTAAAAAATATGTTTATGATAGCTATAAGTATAGACATTCTCAATTTCCTAGAAAAGGACTATGAATTTTATGTGAACTCAAGAGCTGTTATTATTGAGAGACTATAAAGTTATGACAGATTTTTAATTTAGAGTTTGTAGGATTCATTTAATTATTACTAAAGTAATTGAATCATAGTTTTTTGATAAAGAAAACTGGATGACTATTTTGTTTCTTTCAAGCTGATGTTATTATCTTTAATAAGAATATAAAAATCTGTTGATAAGGTAATAAAATTCCTTAACACCATTACTGTAATGTTCACTTTTGAGGACTGGAAATGCTTAATAATCTATCTTTTCTTTTTCTTTGCTTATACAGTTTTTAAAATATAACTCAAGATGTGCATCTAATTACTGCTAATAGTGCAATGTACCAGGCCAAACATTTGCCACTGACTGTCAAGTGTCTTTCTGATGCAGTTGAAAAGGGAGAGAGAGAGAGAGAAAGAGACAGGGAGAGAGAGAGAGAGAAAGGAGAAAGAAAGAGCAATGTCCCTTGAGCAAGACTTTCTGCAGCTGTTGTGTACATTAATCCAGGGAGCAGATCTTCCAACACTAAATATAGCAAGCGTATCCTTTTACATGATAAAAAAATTTTTAAATGAAAGTCTTTATGCAGGCATATTATTTTAGATTCAACTTCCTTTAAAAAGGAAATAGGCATTGCATACATATTCTCTATATAAACAACATTCTTTTAATAAACGAATGTGTGGAAAATGCCAATGAGATATGCAACATGTCACAACTTCCTCTGTCGAGATATTTTTCCTTAGGAACTCAAGTAGGCTGTGATCTCTGTGAGTCTCATCAATCCCCTCCAAAATCTTTACATGTGGAAAGCTTTATTTTTCACTTAATTTCATGTCCCATCGTATGTAATTAGACAGTTATCCTAGGTTTCATTTCAAGTAACAGTAATGAGTTCTTTGAAATATTCGCTTTTTCACTGTCAGTGCCCTGTTATCAAAACACACTTGTGAACTTAAATCTGGATATTACCTTTCTTTTCTTAGTTGACCCAGATGAGGATGTCCAATCCAGGCACTCCACTGCAATGATAATTATCCAGGGAGAACTTTTAGATGAAAGCACAGGAGAAGAGGGAAATTCTTCACGCCCTTGGAAATAGAGAGTAGCCGTCCATAGAGAGTGAGGAGTTAACCTTAGTTTCAGTGAAGATGGCTGTAAGAAGCTGGACAACCTGTCACCACCAGAGCCAGAGCATTTGTCAGCTCACAGGTCCCAAGTTATTTTGAGCTGTATAAACCATGTGCCTGTGAAACATTCCACCTGATTGGACAGGAGAAAACTGAGCAAAGGGATTCCATAGCAGGACAGCACCTATAGGGGGTGGGGGTCAATCAGTTCTTTTACCTATAGAATTTCCCTTATAGCCAGAGGCCCAAGTTATTTATTGATTGATGTTTGGAATGAACACTAAATGCATTATACCATAGTTCCTCAGTCAAAACAATGACATTATTTTTAAATGTATGAAAACTCTTAATTTTCAAGATCTTTAATTTTAATCAATAGGAAATTTACTCTTATTAAATCACTGATACATTTTAGGAAATTTGACTGTGAAAAGTCAACAGAAGCTAAGGTCTAACGTTTTAAAGCTGAGAGCTTTTTTGAATTGTTTGTCCAAAGGCTAAGCAAAAGCCGAGAAGGTAATTAATATTAAAAATTCCGTGGCCGGGCACAGTGGCTCACGCCTATAATTCCAGCACTCTGGGAGGCTGATGTGGGCAGATCACCTGAGGTCAGGAGTTCAAGACCAAGCTGGCCAATGTGGTGAAACCCCATCTGCACTAAAAATACAAAAATTAGCCAGGTGTGGTGGCGCATGCCTGTAATCCCAGCTACTCAGGAAGCTGAGGCAGGAGAATTACTTGAACTGGGGAGGCAGAGGTTGCAGTGAGCCGAGATAGTACCACTGCATTCCAACATGGGGGACAGAGTGCAACTCTGTCTCAAAAAAATAATAAAATTTAAAATAAATAAATAAACTTGAAAAAAGTTAACCTGATTGCTTAGCATAGATTAAATGATGCTATAACATTATCAGTCATGGTAGAAGCCAGGACTTTGAAAATTCAGACTTAAATGCTAGTTATCATTCTTTAAAAGGGTTATTCTTAGATTCTGATAGCATGAAATACATTGGTTTAAATCTAGCTTTCTTAACTAAGTCACACAACTGCTTATACGGTTTCTTCCTAGTCATTCATTCATTTGATAATTATTTACTTAATGCCTACTGTGTACCAGGTACTGAGTATAAAGTAGTGCACAAAATACACAAAAATTTCTGACCTCATGGAATTTACGAAGAGATCTTTATCCTCTTCAGTCATTGTGAGACTATTTATAGTACACTGAACAGGTATAAAATTTCTTTGTTTATTGTGATAGCACTGGAGGTTTACACCTTTTTTATGTGGTTTTAGGCTTACACAGGCAAAAAAACAATGAGGAACACTTTTAAATAATTCAGATGGAAATAACTGGTATTGAGGAGAGAAGAGGATACAGGAGGAAATGAATTATCTGGATAGGTTATTCTCATTAGCACTGTAATCCAGAGCTTCAATGTACAGATTCATTTGCTCTCTTACCTAATCTTGTGCTGATACTAATGTCAAGACCACTTAATTGTCTTTCTGCATACTCTATTTATGTGGATATGCCAACAATTTATTTTTATTTAAACAGAGGATCTTCCTCCACTATCCCACTCAGATCTTAAGTCATAATCAATGTAAGTGCTGCTGGGTCTTGGGTAGTTCTCCCCCACAGAAGAGTAGAACCTCTATTTCAGGTGGCTAGTAAAGGCAATGTTGAAACACAGTAAAAGTAAACACATTTTTACTTTCCTGCAAACTGCCATGATAAGTCTGGTATTCCACCTTTCACCCAGGTATAGAATACTAAGGTTGAAGGAGACTCATACTAAAAAGTAGAATAAAGCTGGTTGGGCAGTGAAATTAGGAATCTATATAAAGAACTAAAGTAGGTGTAAAATGCAAAAGAAGAGTTACAGAAAAAAAGAAGCCGGCCGGGCGCAGTGGCTCACGCCTGTAATCCTAGCACTTTGGGAGGTCGAGGCGGGCGGATCGCTTGAGCTCAGGAGTTCGAGACCAGCCTGGGCAATGTGTCAAAACCCCGTCTCTACTAAAAATACAAAAAAATTAGCTGGGCGTGGAGGTGTGTGCCTATAGTCCCAACTATTCGGGAGGCTGAGGCAGGAGAATCTCTTGAACCCAGGAGGCAGAGGTTGCAGTGAGCCAAGATTGTGCCACTGCACTCCAGACTGGGTGACAGAGCAAGACTCTGTCTTAAATAAATAAATAAATAAATAAGAAACCAAAGAAATTCTGAATGGCAGTCATCTTTCTCTTTTCATTTTTACTGCAGCATTTTCAAATACAGATACCATACACAATTTTCGAGCTCTTTGAAAAAAAACTGAATATAAATGTTTTAAATAAATAATATTTAGCAATTGTGAACACTTTGGTTATAATACATCAAACATATTTTAGATTTTAGTTTTTAAAAACTAATTTCTGTTCCCAAATAAGCCAGCTACCACCTTGCTTATCTTCAGTCGTAATTGTATAAACATTATACCACAAACCTACTAGTTCAAGATTTCATCAGAGTTTATTGATACAAAAAATAATCTTTAAAACTTTTTAATGCCCAACATAGTTAAAAACAAACTTTGTTAAGTGGCAAGCAAACACAAGGTTGGTTACAAGCCTTCCTATAAAGTTGAGTGGCTCATCCAACACATGTGTTTCTTGTGGTTTGAACACGATCCTGTGCTTGCCTTCAGCTGTTTTCTTAATTCAGTTAGTCAGCCACAGAAACAATTTACTCACATTGGGATGATCCACAGGAATGCCAAGGAATCTGGAAGATCTATGACAGAGGAAGTCTTCATTTGGATGAAAAGCATGGGAGAATTTCCATGCTATTAGATTCATATAAAATGTTTGCATTTGCTATTTTTTTATATTGCTATAGGCTCCAGTTCTCTAAAACAAATTACTCACATATACCAAAGCTTCAGTAAGTTTTGCTTGAAGTTCATAGATTCATCTTGACGTATCCAGTATCAGATGAAAAAATTAAACAAAACCTCTATGCCATATTTTTGAAAAACAGAGACTGTACGTATTTTTTAGCCATTTTTAATGAGAAAAATTTTCACAGCAAAGACAAGTTCTTGACCGTCCAAAACAATAGATGGGTAGCAGATTATAAAAGATCTTATACAAAAGGCATGACAACAATGTAATTGAAAAAGACAATGAAACCGTTAAGAAATTTCTTTTTCATCTAAACTACTGAAAATGCTTGCCTGGGAAAACTAAAAACATTTTTAAAAACTACTTAAAAGTTCAAAACCCACTTAGTTTTAAAAACTAAAAACATTTTAAAAAACTAAACAGAACACCTGCTTTAAAACATTATCCTGAGAAGTAAATTTGTGGTTACCTGTCTCAGGAGAAGCACCATTCCTATATCAATCAACCAGGATGATCTAAAGTCCAAATCTCACTGCCTAACTTGTGTCAGACACAAAAGTGGCATGAAGGAAATGTGATACTGCCCCGCCAGAGTAATGAAGGGTATTTACAGGGTTCCGTTGCAGATCCAGGGACAGTCATTTAGAACAGATTGCTCTTTCAGATCAACTTTAATAACTCAGTCTGCACAATGTTCTTAGCCTGGATGGCTGGTGGGGGTGGATAATGACTAAGATGACTAAGGAAATAGGCTTTCTTGATTTCTCCTTAGACTAAATGAAAATAAGCGTGAAGAAATTCTCAATAATAAAGCAAGTGGAATACAGAAGATATCTATACACAGGATGCATATTACATGTATAAATATCTTTATTTGGTACCAAACTGGGACTATGGTCAAGGCATTTAATAAGGTAAATATGGAAAAACAATCAATTATTACAACACTTCCTGTCTGTTCCCCTAATTTTAAGGTGATTAAATTAAAGCTTTACTATGTGGTTTGCATTAAAATACAACAAAGCTTCCTTTACTTGTGCTTTTGGGATGTAGTACATATCAAAGTTTACACTTTTCAAAAAGTATTATTTCCAAGAAGAAAATCTATTCAGAACTTTTTAAAAGAGCACTCTGAGACTAAATTACTGAAGCAATCTGGAACAATTGTTATCACGTATGTACTCCTCAAGGTATACAATTAAATCCTACTTCTCACCACATTAATATAATGATCATATTAACACACATAAATATGCTATAGTCTTGGTAGAAATAAGTTAATATTCCTTAGCTATGTGTTAAGCACTATGCTAGGCTCTTTGTGTATGTGTTTTATTTAATGAATTCCCTTAACATCTTTGAAGTAGGTATTGTTATAATTCTCATTTTACAGATGAAAACTTGAGGCTTAGAAAGAAGTTTTAAACTTGCCCAAGATCACACAACAAGTAAGCGACTGAGCCAAAATTGAACCTGAGTCTGTGTTCATAACCACTGCAAATATTCAAATGATTATATTTCCAACATATTTGTGAAAAATTAAAAGTAAAAATGAATAGAAAACATATCAGGCCGGGTGCAGTGGCTCATGCCTGTAATCCCAGCACTTTGGGAGGCTGAGGTGGGTGACTCACCTTAGGTCAGGAGTTCAAGATCAGCCTGGCCAACATGGTGAAACCCCGTCTCTACTAAAAATGCAAAAACTAGCCGGGCGTGGTGGTGTGTGCCTGTAATCCCAGCTACTTGGGAGGTTGAGGTAGCAAAATCGCTTGAACCCAGGAGGCATATGTTACAGTGAGCCAAGATTGCGCCACTGTACTCCAGCCTGGGTGACAGAATGAGACTCTGTCTCAAAATAAATAAATAAATAAATAAAGAATAGAAAATATATATTTCTTTTAATAAATATTCTAAGGAAACACTATATAGGGTTTAAGTTTATAATTTTTCTGACTGAAACTAACCTTGAAATTATTTTGTATGACTAAGCAAACAAAAAGAAGTGATAATTTAGAAAGAAAAAAGCAAACGCTTGCAATAAACTCTATATGCAATGTTTTATCCGGGAATATGAATTGATAGGCAGACTGGAGCATTAGGCATTAGTGCTGAAAAGTGGGGCACTGGAAGCAGTCAGAATGCTGTGACAGACCTATTTTTTTTGTTTCTATTTGTTATTGTGCTGAAACAATATAAGAGGTTTGTTCTTTTAAAACTAAATTTAAACGCTTTGGTGTAATTTCTGAGTACAGCAACATGGGTCAATAAAGTTTTTACAAGTTAGGGGTAGGAAAATAGCAGCTTGAATATTCTCTCTTTGTAAGGTTAGCTCAAAATATGCCAATATGCCAGGCTCTGAGTGATTCCACACAGATTCTATTTTTGGTCTGCTTGGACATCTCCAAAAACTGAAAACAAATTTCAGCGTTCTTACTCATGACCCAGGTAATCACACTAATTCTAATGATGTGCGGGAAAGGAAATAGGAACTAACATTTCTTACAAGTGTATTCTAGGCTGAGGAGTAACCTAAGTTACTCTCATTTAATTCTCATAGCAACCCTGCAAAGTGTTGTTATCTGCATGTTACTGGGAGGAAATTAAACCTTAAAGAAGCATAGTTTTCCCACAGTTACCCAACCAGTGAGTTACACAGTTGAGTGGATTCTAACTAAGCCTTTTAGAGCCTTGTTGTTGTTTGAGACAGAGTTTCACTCTTGTTGCTTAGGCTGGAGTGCAATGGTGAGCTCTCAGCTCACTGCAACCTCCAGCTCCCACGTTCAAGCGATTCTCCTGCCTTAGCCTGCAAAGCAGCTGGGATTACAGGCGCCTGCCACCACGCCTGGCTAATTTTTGCTTTTCGAGTAGAGACAGGGTTTCACCATGTTGGTCAGGCTGGTCATGAGTCCTGACCTCAGGTGATCCGCCTGCCTCAGCCTCCCAAAGTGCTGGAATTACAGGCATGAGCCACCACACCTGGCCTAACCTAAGCCTTTTAGTTTAGAACTTGCTCTCTTTTCAATGGCCCCCACTGCCTTCTCATGAAGGTTAGTTAAGATTAGTTCAAAAATCAGAACTCACTCAAAGGAGGAAATTCATCATGATTTTCATATGTATTCATGGGCAATGGGATTGTTAAAGATATCACTTTAGTTTTATTGACTTTGTGTTTATTTAATAGAAACATGAAGGGAACAGAAAAATAGCATATGACTAAGCTCTAGGGCTATTTTCACAAGGAAGACTCAATAAAATTGGTTGACTGAAATAGCAACAGCTAATACACACTTCTGGGAAGTTACCATCTTATTACATATAATTTGTCTGGAAAATAGTAAGTGCCAAATGGAATTAAACCATTGTCAAGAAGGGAAGAGTACAGAGGAAGAGTTTGGAGAACACAGACCATGGAAAATTCAAAAGAAATTTGTATCTTATGTCCTTATCCAAGTTCACATTTTTATTTGCATATGAGTCTATATGTTTGGCATTTTCCTGAGTCAGCAAACTTCCAAGTGAATAAAGGTAGTAGGAAGACCTGCAAAATCTTTTTGTTTTGCTTTTTTATCTGTTTTGTTCACCTCCAAATTGCTCTTCATTCCAAACTAAGAATGAATTAATCAAAACAACCCAAACAAAGATTCATGGCTCAATGTAATTATCACATGTATTAAACATCTTAGACCTCCTTTCCCTTCATCTTTTAGGCTAAACAGTGAGCTTTAGTTTGAAATGCAGGTGATAATGTCATTAAAAGGGATAAGTAAGAAGATAATGTTACAGAGAAGTTAAACACAAAAGTTTATCACAATGGGGATAAATTTAGCTGGGGATAAATCTTTTGTAGATAAGTCCACTGGTCTGACAATATTGTGCAAATTTTCTTTTTTTTAATTGTAGTTAATTTAATAAAATCAAACACAAAGAAAATATTCCAAGAGCTTCTATAAGTAAAGAGCAGTTCAGCTGCAAAGGAACAAGACTCAGACTGCCATTCGATTTCCCAACAGCAACACTGAATGCAAAACAATAGAGCTATATTTTTAAATAATGGAAGGAAAAGAAATTTGAACTTAGAATATTATTTTTAGACAAACTGTCATTCAAATTTGAAGGTATAATAAAAGTACTGTCTCACATAGGTCTCAAACTGTTTGCCATACAAGGACTCATTTTTTGTGAGAAAACATTTTGGCGGAAAGTAATAATAATAAGAGAAGCACAGCAGGTGAAGTGGCTCACAGCCGTAATCCCAGCACTTTGGGAAGCTGAGGTGGGTGGATCACTTGAGCCTAGGAGTTTGAGACCAGCCTGGGCAACATGATGAAACACCATCTCTATAAAAAATAAAAAAATAATTAGCTGGGCGTTGTGGTCTGTGCTTGTAGTACCAGCTACCTGGGAGGATGAGGCAGGAGGATTGAGCCTGGGAGGTGGAAGCTACAATGAGCTTTGATTGTGCCACTACACTCCAGCCTGGGCTGCAGTAAAATGAGACCCTGTCTCAAAAAAAACCAACCAACCAACCAAACAAACAAACAAAAAACAGGAGAGCGAAATAGAGAAATAGATCCCTGAAAATTGCTGTTTAAGAGATAGAGAATTAATGAAAACCAAATATTTTGGTAATATTCATTATTCACGAGAACCCAGAATTTAAATTCTGGGCAGTATCAAAAGATTAAAGGCAGATGACAATGTGATAAAGTACTTTTTCTGTTAGGAGAAAAATGCAAATATTAATAAGTTAAAGAAGTCAATAGTGATAAACATGAGACTGTATCTTAAGGATAACAAGTATAAAAACAAAATGTACAGCTTCTAAACCAGCAGAAGAAAACTTGACCTATACAATTGAAATCAGGAGCAAAAACAAAAAGGAAGAAATGAGAAGTTCAGTAAATTAAAAATACAATAAGCTATCAGAAGTAAGTTTTAAAAATTTGAGTAAATATAAGTACAAATAGGTTAAATCCACCAACTAAAAGACAGATACTGTCAACCTGGAGTTAAGAACAAGAATATTAAATAAACACATTGAAGACAAAATGAAAAACATGTTAAAAATAAAAGGAATGAAAGCTTAAATTAAGCCACTATGAACCTAAAAAAAGTTGGCATAGTAATCTTAATATCCGAAAAAAGAGAATATAAGGCTAAAAAATACCATCGGGCCAAAGGATGACATTACATACTGATGAAGGCAGCTACAGCAAATTTTCATCAAGAATAAGAAAAGCTTTGGTATAATCAGAAATGTGGGCATCCCAATCTTATGAAATACAAACCACCGTTCTGGTCTTACCTGCCACTCTTCTACACAATTACTTATCTCCAACCAAAATGTTCCACCAATATTTCCTTGCCTTCTCTTTACCCTGTGCCTTTGTTCACTGTCACTTCCACTTATGTAATTAAACAACTACTTGTTGCAGTGTTTCTTATATTGTTGAATTAAACCATATCTTTATTTACGTATTTATGTATTATTTACTCAACTAGATCAACTTTTTGAGAATTGAAGCTATACAAAATTTTTCTTTTTGGGTCATGCAGTTCTAATCTCAAGGCATGACACACAGTAGGCACATAATAAATATTTATCTGTGGCATGCCATAAAAATGATGTATAAACTGTCCTAAATTATTCAGTCAATCAACACATATTTACTGAACACTTATTATGTGCCAGGAAAGATCAAATGGCCCAGACTCTCAGCAACATTAACTGATTTAATTGTCATTAATGGGTACGATATTTGTTTAACACAAAAATACTATTAAGAATTAAATCAAATGAAGAAAGGAGCTGAAAATGACTGTGTGTTCATCATGCACCAGTCACAAACTGAGGAACTATCTGTGCATTTGGCTCAATGGATGCTT